TTTGATATAGGCAAATGAATAGTAGTTGCACGGTGCGAGGGTCGTCATTCTTCAAACATTTTTTTCTTTTGACATTTTCGTCAATGTCAGTCTCCCCCCCCCCCCCCCCCCCCCCCGCCCATTACATTGTAATCCTGCATGTAGAATGACACCTATTTTCCTATTTTTCCTTCTTTTACAGCATTTTCCTCTTGTAATTTGTAATAATTTCTATGGTAAAGACATGGAACATACAGGGAGGGGGGGGGGGTGCGCCCCATATTTTCTTATCAATCCTAATGTGAAAAGTTACATTTATTGACGAGTGGTTATTATAAAGACACAGAAAAAAAAATCGATATAAGAAATTTCAGATAGAAACATATAAGTTCCTAGGGGATGTTAATATTGAATGTGAACAAAGTAACACTGCTCGCCATTTTTAAACTGCAGCGGTGGTTTCAATAAAAAACAGTAGGCGCTCAGTTAGATTCTGTAACATAATGATTGCCAGAGGTGAATTTTTTTTACTGTTGCTAGGTAACAGCTTCCGACCGGGCAGCTAAAAAAAACCTTGTACTCAGCTATTGACGGGGAAAGATGACTTGACGTCAATGTGTATGCCATTAAAATGTAGGAATTAAGCGGTAATGAATAATGACCTTAAAGCATGCGTGTATACCTAACATGACTGTATACGTCCATGCTTGTAGTAAGTGGTATTTAGGAGTAGGTCCTTGAGGATATTGCGTGATTTTCGAGAAAATGTGATGGTGAAAATATCCTTAATCATGCACCTCGTTTCTGCCATCATTGTAATTATCTTCTGGAAAATCTCCCTCCCTCAATAATTATAAGCATCTATGAATAACATCCTGAAAATCGTCGAAAGACTGATTCAGGAATACTTTGATAGTAATTATGTGTTACCTGACTGCTTGTAAATAAGCAACCAGGGGACCGACGGCTTAAATTTCTCTCCCAGGGACTTGATAATGAGGATTGATGCGTTACCAAAGCACTAGCTCAACAGTCGATTTGGTTCGAACCCGAGACCTCCCGGTTACAAGACCATGCACTGATCTACCACTGAGCCATGACGTTTTAGTCCCATTTTTATATATTTTATATCAAATGTACTGCTATAGGCTGTTTTATTTCCTGGTACTTACATGAATTATATATATGATGCTACCAATTAAGAGTGAAAGTTTGTCCCATGACTCTGCTATATCACGGTGCAATAACAGGTGGTAATTGAGTATAAGAGCAGAATATATACAATACAGATTACAATGATTAGTACATAATTATGATAATTAATTCATAGTAATATGTAAAGATAAGAGTAGTTAGTCGATGCTTTTTTTTTGGGGGGGGGGGTGGCAGATCTGGACAAGAAAGAAAAAAATAACGAAGAAATATTGGCAAGACAGAGGAGATATTTTCCGAGGTGGTATAACCCTCAACACTAGGCCTATACCAGTTTACAATATTTAGTGGAAATTGTTAGATCAGGGTATATTTTTTAATGAATATTGATAGGTAGTCGTCAGATTCTATAGGTGTGTACACTATGAGATGACCTTCATGCAAGGCGGGGAGGACCGGGCCATACCACCTCCATTGAACACAACGTGAACTGTTCAACTCCCTTTTAGTTATTATATCATTTTTTAAAGGAAAACAGCCCCTTTTAAATTCATATAAACACCCTGCTTTATATGCCAGCATGCTGTAACGTTTATATGTTTTTATTTATATAATATTGTGAACTTGTGGTGCTGTCGTCCCGGCTTTATTTCGTGTAAGGATATTGCTTCACTTAATGGCTGCTGGGACAACATCACCACTGCGCCTAGAAACACGTGATTTATTATTATTATTATTATTATTATTATTATTAAATTTCACGACGAGCTTTTACAACTGAGTGTGTTTTGTTAAAGGAAACCAAAACCTTCATACTAAGTTACTTTTATTGTAAAGTTTAAGATATTTGAAAAATATCAGTGAAAATTTGAACAAAATCGGGCAAGGAATAAGGAAGTAAGAGCTTTTTGAAATGACTAGTCACTAGAGGGCGGTATTCAATTTTATGACATCATCTGTGGACAACTCTCCATCCCTTTTGTACCGTGATCAAATTTCATGTTTTTCCTTCTTTCTTGTGATTGAGATAATATACTCCCCCGAAAGCAAGATATAGAATGCAAAATGATATTCTACTTCACATGTTATGAAGTCGGATCAAGAACACAAATAAATACGAAGAAAACAAAAAAATGTGAAATTGTATGTACAAAAGGCATGGAGAGTTGTTCACAGATGATGTCATCAACTTGAATATCGCCCTCTAGTGACTAGTCATTTCAAAAAGCTCTTACTAGGCGTTGTGGCGTGCGCCTGTAATCCAGCTAAAAAGTGGAAGTTACAAACTGATTCAGCCGAGGACGCAGGTTCGAAACTGAGTCACGTCTTTCGGATGGTGACGTTTAAAGGTCGGTCCCAGACGTAAATAATCATATCTGATTGATACACGTCTGTAAAACCCAATACACACACACACACACACACTCTACTTCCTTATTCCTTGCCCGATTTAGTTCAAATTTTCACTAATTTTATTCAAATCTTTTAAACTTTACAATAAAGTAACTTAATATGAAGGTTTGGTTTCCTTTAATGTTTCCAAAATGATTCATTGGTATAGCATTCATACAAGTGTGCAAGGAAATGAAGAAACTTTTGAACTTTGACAGAACCTTTTTTAAATTTGTATTATGTTTTGATAATGTAGCAGCCAGAGGCGGCGGAGCTACTTCCAATGTGTTGGGGGGGGGGGGGGCACCAACAAAAAAGGGCACTTTCTGGAGAAAAAAAGGGCACCTTCAAAGGAAATCTCAAAGGGAAAATATACAATTTTTTAGACATTGGTATATACACCTATATGTGATTACATTATCGGGATGATTTCAATATTTGTTTGTATTTGTACATCATGTAAGATTTTGCTTAAGTATCATCTTTGCAGTTGAATGTGATGGTCTAAAAATTCACTTGCGAGCGAGCAAAGCGAGCGAGAATTTTTTTAAAGATTTGTGAGGTCGCAGTGGAAAAAATACATCTTATAAAGAGGAATGACCCAATCCTGATGGGGTTATATAAGCACATTCTCATAACGGAAGACTGAAAAGATCTTTAATAAGTTACATAATTATAACATCTATAACTACAAGCGAGCGTAGCGAGCGAGCCTTGGGGAAATTGCTTTTAGTCGCTTGAAAGTAGGGGCACGTTTGAAGAAGAGAGGAAAAAGGGACGAAAGGGTTAAGGCAGTTATTAGAAATAAAAGGAGCACGTGTCAGAGTACAAAGGCTAATTATCAGAGGTGAAAATGGGGCACTTCTTACACCTAAAAAAAAGAGGCATGCACCAGGGATGAAAAGAAATGGGCATTTGTCGATGGAAAAGAGGCGCCCATTAGATTTTGATAGGGGGCATTTATAAGAAGTGAAAAAGGGCATTTATGAAAAAGGGATAGGGTCTTTTATTAGAAAAGAAATTAGGCACATATCATTGTTAAAAGGGTAATGAGAAGGGAAGTGGCTCTTATTAAAAGGAAAAAAAGGCACATATTAAAATAAATGGGGCACTTATCAAAGACGAAAAGGGGGTAATTATGAGAAGGAGAAGGGACACTTAAAGAAAAAAAGAGCATTTATTAAGAAGGAAAAGGGGACGTATCAAAATAAAAAGGGGCATTTATAAGAGACGAAAAGAGCACTTATCAGGAGGGGAAGGGGTACTTGTCAAAGTAAAACGAGTATCTCTCGGAATTGAATAGGGTCATTTACAAGGGATGTAAAGGGGCACTTATGAGGCAAATGTGAAAATATAAAGTGCGCTTATCCAAGTTAAAAGGGGAAGGGGCACTTTTTACAAAGGAAAAGGGGCACTAGTCAAGGGGGGGGGGGGGGGGGGGGGGGGTAAGGGACACTTTTTTTTTTGGTCTCGAAATTTCAAAATTGACATTTTTCATCGTTGGGGGGGGGGGGGGGGGGGGGGGTAAAGTCACATTGTTTAGGTTAGCCGTGGGGTATAATTTTTTTTTTAAATAATTAAAAAAAAAAAAAAAAAAAAAAAAAAAAAAACCAAAAGGGGGGGGGGGGGGGTTTAGGTTTTTTTAGGGGGGTTACACACATAAAAAAAACAATGGGGGGGGGGGTTTGAACCCCCTAACCCCCCCCCCCCCCCCCCCCCCCCCCCCCCCCCCCCCCCCCTCCCCCCCCCCCCCCCCCCCCCCCCCCCCCCCCCCCCCCCCCCCCCCCCCCCCCCCCCCCCCCCCCCCTGCGTACGTTCCTGGGCCTAGACCTATATCCCCCAAAACACGAGACAAGTCCTAAACAGAAGTCATAACTTTATACTTATATTTAAAAAATCCTATATTCTTATCGCTGCAGTCCAGTTTATCATAAATAATGCAATTTATTGTTGATAATGCACTATATTAGCATTTGGATTTAATAAACCTAACTGATCGAAGGCAACATAAAAATAGAAGCGATGCATCATATCAGAATGTATGACTGTCATGTCCATTTTTTTTTTATCGCTGTTATCGCTTCAAAGATACGGTAAACAATTTACGATTTGAACTACGGCGGCAAACGTGAGCAACGTGCAATTTTGGGTCGGAGAAAAGCGAAATTAAAATCTGATTTTAAAGGTTAGTTCTATTTTTTATTTTATATCTGCTGTTTCAAAAGAATTGATATAGATATTCAAATTATAAATCAATCATTCAAGATACTAAATTTTGGATGCAAGTCTATCAGTATCCCGTACAAAATGAATAAAATGTCAAGCGTAACGCAGGTCGCAGCATAATTGTGAATATGTGGGCACAGCGCTTTGGCCCGTTGAATTGGTTCAGCGCACTTCCGTTCACGTAGGCCTAACCATTGGCAGTGCATGCTGATGTGCACGTAGCTAGCGGGGAATAGAGAGGCTGAAGGTAGTTCGTGTACAAGCCATGGAAAGGGGGGGGGGGGGGGGGTAGATATGTCTGTCTTTCATGTGTGTGTGTGTGTGTGTGAATGACTAATTGTTACACTGACTTACAGTTACAGACATCTAGAAGTAGAATGATAGATCTAGACCGAAAATTTCTGTCTCTTTGAGTCTTTCGTTCTTTAGCCTCTGGTAGGGAGGCCAATGCCCAAATCTAACTTTTTAATTACTAGAGTAAAGGAGCCCGTTTTCGGCCACTTAAGACAAAATCCTATTTTTAGGACTTTTTACTTCCTATCTATTATCATTTCTTGTTCAAATCATGAAGCAAATATTATTATTATTTAAACAAAAAAAGAATCCCAGAAAAAAATCACGAATTGCCATGACAATATTCATTTCAATTTTCACTGTTTTGGAGCCCGTTATCGGCCGAGCGTTTCAGTTTATGGCCGCATGTACAAAGTCAATAGGAAGCGCTCGCGCGCGCCGTGCGTTTCCGCGCTGATGTACAGCACAAGCGGGCGGAGCAGGTATCCCACGCCGGAGCTCCCTGGTGCTCGCCTGGCCGAAGACAGGCACAGCGGTGATCGGAAGTTGGAATCTGAATTAGACAGAGATATCGTGTGTGCGTCGCGGTGTGCGGCTGCATTGATTTAATACATGCGATGGCATACTTTTGAGCTTGCGACTAGCACAAAATCGGGCTTTAAATCTGAAAAATACTTGAAATAAAGCTCATTTTATGGTACCCATATTTCTTACAGACACGCGTAAGATACTCGATTTTCAGATTTGGGTAGCGGGACCGGCGATTACATCGCTAAAATGTGATATTTTAGGATATATTTTCCATTGCAAATGTGGTTCTTCAGTGACACTGGCATGGTATGGTATGTGTGGGATATGTGTTATGCTATTATGCGATGTATTTTAGAGTGATTTTACCTTCCATCCAACCAATCGGCCGAAAACTGGCGCTGGCCGATTACGGGCTCCTTTACTCTAATTTGTTTATAATAAAACAAACATTAAAAGAAAGCATTTTCTTTCACTAAGAAAACTCACCCATCTGCCGACTCCAGAAGTTCCATAAAATAGGAGATATCCAGCTAGTTCCTATGAGGTTCCTTCTACGCCTGGCCGTACGTAAGAGCCTTGAAACAATCAATTTCAATTACGTTGAGAATTAGACAGGCCCGAGGGAATGGGCGTGTCATCATGGTCATTGCCCGGACAATAAGTTCAAAACTTCGCGCGAAAGTACATTCATGCATCACCGGCTAGCCTTGAATTAGTCGCACACACCGACACAGTACTGCAGGCCAGGTACGGTAATTGCATGCAAGCCGCGATCGAGCCATGCTAGCCATGGCATGGAGGGTCAACATAATGGAGAGAAAGCTCGAAAGCCACTCATTGTAAATTAAGAAAGTAATTGAAATAAATAAATAGGCCTACCTTAGTTTTGCGATGTATTCCAATTACTATTTCCTCATGAGTAAAGATCTGACACTGCATTATCATCGATCGATAAATCCAACTTGCACTTGCATGCAGCGATCTAGACCGAAAGCTTCAGTCTCTATAATCGTCGGTTGTTCCACTGAGACTACGTCTGGCTCCACTAGACCTCCGGAAGGCTCCGGTTATAGAGATAACGCCATTACGAACGTGTAGATGGCGCACAGTTTTTCCTTCATAATCATTTTGCCTTCGGCGTAGACTAGAAGGGATGAGATTGACGGCAGCGAGAGTTTAACACGGCTTGCAAGATTTTCAACATGGATGTCGATTTTGACCCATAATTTCCTTAAAAGGGACCATTAAACGGATTATTTCAATCAAGTTAGTAAGTGGAACCGATGTATTATAGCCTAGAGGCCTAATTTAAAATTGGATATGGACGAGGTAAAATGACATTTTGGGGGATTTTGGGGGCATAACAATACGGCCGTGGCAAGTTTGTCATGTTTGTGGGAGGGGCCTAGCGGCTAAAATCTAGCCGTGATATCTTCAACATACGATGGTATAGGCGATCGTTCAGTCTCTATTACCGGAGGTCTAGTGGAGCTAGACGTAGTCTCAGTGGAACAACCGACGATTATAGAGACTGAAGCTTTCGGTCTAGCAGCGATCACAATACGGAATCAAACATGACTGCATGCATTGATAGACTAGACGTGTACTACTTACGGAGATATTTCTCTCCCTCTCTCTCTCTCTCACTAACCATATGATGATATCATACACTAAAACACACACGCTCAAATCATGGCATTCATTACACTTCTCAATTGGAGTATAGACTGCTCACGTAGACTTTAATTTTTTTTTTACTGAAATGTCTTTTTTTACACTTCTCATACATTACTGCACGACACTGGTGTCTAGTGCTGAGAAAAAGGTACTATGTGTGAGACTACGTCAAATTTGTTTTGCGCACGATGAGACCGGAGCTCATAAATATTCATATTATGATGTCGCAAGACTTCTATTTGGGGCTGAAACAATGAGGTCTCTGTTCACAATTTCCTTCTCAATTTGAGATGGCTCTAGCTATGGGGCTCAAACCAACACAAGACTGACAAAAACATCGTACTCTATCTACCTTCGAATGTGCAGTTTGTAAAAATCTGCAATTAAAAAGATATTATCTTTTTTCGTTATATTTTCTAGTTGTTAAAAGTGACATTTGTGCACATCTGATATGTTAATCTCTATCAAAAGTTCTTTGATATTAAATTGGTTCCATATTTTTAGGCTCTACCTTCAGTCATTGAGAAGGATTTTAGTGAGCTAACCTCATCGCCCTCTAGTTTCTCTTGTGCGTTCGTTTTTTTCGTCTGCTCGCCCAATTATTGGATCAAAATACGTCAAAATCTGCAAGATCGTCAATAAATGGTGAATCGTAGGCGTAGAAGCCTTACGCCCGGGCATTGGCCTCCCTACCTCTGGCTCTGATTTGATTTGGGTAGGGTCGGCTCCTCTCTTTAGAGACATAGTCTAGACCTCTAACACTATTTTAACAGGACCATAGGCATTAGTGTTCATGCTTGGTGTAACGTTTCTTTACACCAAACTTGGCAAAACTAATGCCTAATTTTGATATTTTACAGGATGCATAGAGTAAAGTAGGGGGTTTTCGGCCACTTAAGACAAAATCCTATTTTTAGGACCCTTTACTTCCTATTTATTATCATTTCTTGTTCAAATCATGAAGCAAATATTATTATTATTTAAACAAAAACAGAATCCCAGAAAAAAATCACGAATTGCCATGACATATTCATTTCAATTTTCACTGTTTCGGAGTCCGGCATAGCGAACCAGTTTTCGGCCGCATGTACAAAGTCAATAGGAAGCGCGCACGCGCGCCGTGCGTTTCCGCGCTGATGTATAGTACTAGCGGACGGAGCAGGTATCCCAAGCCGGAGCTCGCCAGGCCGTAAACTAGTACTGTGGTGATCGGTAATTGGAATCTGAATTAGACAGAGGTATCGTGTGTGCGTTGCCATGTCCGGCTGCATTGATTTAATACATGCGGTGAGATACTTTTGAGCTTGCGACTAGCACAAAATCGGGCTCTTAATCTGAAAAATACTTGAAATAAAGCTCATTTTATGGTACCCATATTTCTTACAGACACATGTAAGATACTCGATTTTTCAGATTCGGGTAGCGGGACCACCGATTACATCGCTAAAATGTGATATTTTAGGATATATTTTTCATTGCAAATGTGGTTCTTCAGTGACTCTGGCATGGTATGGTATGTGTGGGATATGTGATATGCTATTATGCAATGTATTTTAAAGGGATTTTACCATGCATCCAACCAATCGGCCGAAAACTGAAGCTGGTCGATTACCCCCTCCTTTACTATATCCGATTTATTTTATATTGTAAATTAGTCCTAGGGCTAGGGTCTAGGCTATATTAATACCAATACCAAACTTGACTGAAATAATCCATTTAATGGTCCCTTTTTAGGAAATTATATGGGTCAAAATTGACATCCATGTTGAAAAACTTGCAAGCCGTATTTTAACTCTCGCTGCGCATGACGTCATCTAATTCTCATCCCTTCTAGTCTACGCCGAAGGCAAAATGATTATGAAGGAAAAACTGTGCGCGAGCTACAAGCTCGTAATAACGTTATCACAGTTTTTTTGTTCATTTTGTGGCGATTCTTGACAGGCTGTCAGCACAAATTGGGTTGTTTTTTATATATTTTCTGGCCTGCCCGGTTCAGTACATTGAACATGCACAGCCTAGGCCCCTCCAAAAAGTCCAATACCAGTCGAGAGACTCAAGACTATGCGATGTCTGTCAATGGGAGTGTCTCCTTTCAGGGAAAGACAAAACAAAACTATAACAAGAACAAAATGCATTATAATTTAAACTGATGAACAAATTGTTATAACTCAAATCATGCAGATATTTTTTGGGGTTAATTTTTCTATTTTTTTTTTATCATGATTTTTTTTCCTCCAGAAATGTATAGTCCCTGAGATCGAAGTAAATCGGGTTGAAAATTAGGGAGTGAGGTGCCTTTTTTCATGACTTCCTTGAACGCCTTGCGCAAGCGCTCGGATTTTCAAAACCTATTTTTTGTGTGTAAACAATGTGTTTGTAATCCTTTCCTGCAACCGAAGGACCTCCCAAACTACCTTTGGAGTCTTGCTGGTGGACTCTTCTTTCTACTCCTGCAAAGCACTTTGAAATCAGTCAAGAATTTATCAAAAAATGTGGACATCTGTTGCATTTCTTCAAGTGTTCCTGATGATAATGAGCTTAGATGCAATTTACATGACAAAAACATTGACCTTGAATGAAAATTTGTGATATCTGCATTCTATCTGATTAATTTGTATATTTAATGGAATTCAAAATGATGTACTGAACTAAACTGAAATACTGAAGATAGGTTTTTACACAACTTATTCCAATCAATAAATTTGAAAATGGAAGAGAGCTAAACAGAGCAAAAGGGAGAGAACTGAACTACTTTATGTTTTTTAGCGCCTCTTTGAACTTTAATCTCAATTTTTGTAAAAGATTAACTTGTGAGTTTAACAATAACATCATGATCACTTGTTGTTGGATTAAATTTCAGTTGAACAGAGGTACATTAAAGATGAAGTTGAGTTCTGGTCATGCGATTGCATTGTGAAAGAGACGGTGTGAAATCGACCAGAAAAGGTTGATCATCTAGCATATAAGAATTTCTGCGTATTGCAAGGTTCTGGAATCACAAAATGATAAGAAATTTGGCCAAGTCTTGGTAAAGTTACAAACACTGTACACAGAAAGATGTATATGGGACCACACAAACATGTGGTGTAAAAAACCTACCCCCCAAGTTTTTCGAGTTACATGACATATTTAGAATATAAAGGCATTTGAAGAGCCATGCTTTTCAGGGAACATGTCTTACAATGTATCTGATGTTCTTCCACACTTGCATAATAAGAATGATAACGCTCACAAATTATTTTTCACCTCTTCCCAGAACTCAACCTTCTCTTTAAGTACCCAAGGTTAAAACCTAATTTACCAACTCTCTTGCCTTCTCACTTTGGTTTCCTTCAGCCTCTAACCATGTCTTCATAATTTTCAATCATTTACATTTTGTTTCTCCTTAATTTTTTTAAATTTAGGATCATCACTACATCTTAAAATGCCACCTAAGAGAAAAGGACAACAAACTGCCAAAGTAAACGGCACAAATGAAGGGGTTGTGAAGAGTAAGAAGGTGAAAGGTAAGTTATTTGATTTATTTCATTTGATTTGATATATTAATTTCTGTTTGATTTTCTTTTCCTTTTGCATTTTTACAAATATATAACAAACAAATATCGCAAATTTACACATGACAAAAGAATATGTAGAATAAAGTAAGGTTGGCTGTAACTAATCAAACAGGAGGGTTGACAAAGTTGATAGTATGACAACCCTCAAAGGTTACATAATAATACAAATATGGAGGAACAAAATATTGGTAAAAGGGGAAAAAGTCAAAAAAAGAAGAAAAACAAAGAAAGAGAGGATGCACATCAAGATTCACAGATGTATGTGGTAGTTAGATTTCAATTTCTAAGTGTTCATGATTAGAGTAATAATAATAGTAGGTGCTTGTATAGTGCTCCACAATTAAGCCAGCTTATGGGCATGGCTGCTTTATTGACATTATATGAAATTAACCTTTGCCACATAATCATTTACTTTACCCATGTCAACTCTGCCAAGTGTGGCAGATGTAGATTAATGCATCGGGGAAAAGGATGTTAGAGCTGTATCTAACCCTGTAACTGATCATGGGATCGGGGGCGATCGTCGTCCGATCAGGTGAAATCGGATAATAAATTCCCATCGCCGATCAATGAAAATGATCAGAAAAAAATCAGCAGAATTTTTTTTTTAATGCCAACATTTTTCAAGTTTTGGGCTATCAAATGCAAAAAAATCATGCATAGCTGGGATTATTTTGTCATTTGGAGTTGTTGTAGACCATGTTTGTTGATATTAAGTGCCTTTTCATGACTTCGAAATTAATAATGTAGGCGCACATGTTTTTGTCCATTGTCATTAAAATCCAAGACGGCGGCTCGCATGTTTTGCCTCTATTCTTAGAAAAATATGACAGAAGATGGAAGAGAACCCCACACTTTGCATTTGATACCATCCATATTTGATATAAATATTCTTTGCTCTTTCTCTTGTACCTTGTTCTAGTGTCCCACTGGTCACACCAAACCAAGCCAGGCTTCGTGCTAGCCTTTGGTCAGGGTGATGTCGGTCAGCTGGGTCTTGGTGAGGACATCATGGAGAGGAAGAAGCCTTCGTTGGTCAGCTTCGATGGAGCCAAGAGGATCGTGGATGTGGTTGCAGGGGGAATGCACACCGTTTGCATTGCACAAGATGGAGCGGTGAGAAATAGTGACTAGGCATGGGCATAATTACAAACCTTGAGGTGCAATAGCTAAGTTAGTAGAGCACTGGTCTCGTAATCCGGCGACACGGTTCAAACCGAGTTGATGTGCTAGTGCCCTTTGTTAAGGCATTAATCATCATTACCAGGTCCCTCGGAGAGGACCTAAAGCCGTCGGTCCTCTAGTTGCTCACTAACAAGCATTTATGCTTTCTTAGCAGTCAGGTAAAATAACCCCCTCCACCACCACTCTTGTATAGTTATAAGGATTAGTCTTTTGATGCGCCTTTTCTTGTAATTGCCGTTTTGTTGTTTAATTTATTAAAGTCAACTTCAGTAATAGGACACGATTAATTCTACACATGGCTAGCTTCAACTATATTTCAAATTTCAGACTCCTTGATACTTTATGAGGAATCCTAGCACAGCCCATTTTATATAGATGCACAAAACCTCTCCTTCTTTATCTCTATGCAGTAGGGGACACAGTGAATGCTATATAAATTCTATTTTGTCGTTTGGTCGTTGTTGTTTTAATTTTGGTACACTACTGAGTTGGATGTGTATTGTAGACTCCACGTAAGGTGGTCAATTACTACAGTTTGAAAAGCATTTACTTCTCGTCTAACCTGCCAATCGCCCAACCATGCATACAGTATTAAGGTTTGGGTTATTCTTAGGCCCTAGTAGACGTGGGGGGTGTTTCAAAGAGATTTTAAGTCAAACTTAACTCTAAGTTGGACTTAAAAGTTGTGCAGAGCCATTTGTAGCCTTAAAATAAAATATATTCAAAAGCAAAAATTCTGTTTTTTTAGAGTTTTCATGAATTTCAAATCAAGAACATGAAATCTCCCATGATAGAAAATATGAATGATTTGAATCAACATTTTATGCCTTTTAAAATAACTTCTACAAAATATTTTCAAAGATGCTACCGGCTTTCCATAATTGTTAAGTCCAACTTTGAGATAAGTTCAACTTAGGATATTTGTGAAACACCCCCCAGTTCATGGTTAGCACATGGCTGCAATGACCCTGAATATCCATAGATCTTCAAAACATGAAGAGGTCCCACTTTGTACATTTTGAAATAATCACTCTTACACAGATGGAGGTGCTACATAAATAGCCTTTGTTTCCCCTTTTCAAAGAATACTTCCACCTGTGTATCATAGAGTGCTCTGCTTGTGCATAAATGAATAATGGTTACATAAATTTCATGAGCAAGTATCCAGTATTCCGTCTCCGTGTATATCACAATTTGTTATGCAATGACCTTTATCTGCTCATGCTCAGACTGCAACCGTGAACTGGCTTATACCAGGGTTAGGGTTTATTCTTTATTCTGGTATTCAGCAGTTGTTCCTATTTCTCTTTGAACTTCCACTTAAAACCTTGTTCTTCTTTATCCATTGTTCCCAGGTCTATACATTCGGCTGCAACGACGAGGGTGCCCTGGGTCGCGACACCAAAGAGGATGGGTCAGAGTTCACATCAGGAAAGGTCGCACTCGATGCAAAGATCATTCAGGCCACGGCGGGCGACTCCCACACCGCTGCTCTGACGGACGAGGGCAAAGTTTATGCATGGGGTACATTTAGGGTAAGCTGAAGGAGGAGGTCTGAGTTCTTGGAGGTGTTTCACTAAGTTGAACTTAACTTTACGTTGGACTTATCATGGAGAGCCATTTGTAGCGGTCTTAAAACATAATACAATAACAAGAAATCTCCTTGATTATAGAAAATATGAACAATTTGAATTTACATTTTATGCCTTTTAAAATAACTTTAACAAATTATTTGCAAAGATGCTAACAGCTTTCCATAATTTTAAAGTCCAACTTAGGATCTTTGTGAAACACCCCCCTGGTATTTTCAAGCTTCGTTGTTCATTTCATGTTAATTCTGAAGAATATGAAAGTGAATAATATGCCTGCTAAAAATGATTACCCATACAATGCCCTCGTCTTTGAAATTTGACTAGAGAAAGCTTAAAAGTTTGGACCAAACTTTCATACTGCATGTGTGTGTAGTCCCATATACACATTTCTGTGTACAGTGTATGTGATTGTCGGCAAGATGGAGTCAATTTTTTATCATTTTGTTTATTAAAAAATGTTTGGGATGTGAATAAGACCCTTTTTTTTTTAATATAGGATGTCAACAATCCCATTGTTGTTCAATATCAGTGCATATTTTCATGTGAATTGATATTCATTCCCTAGGATGGCAATGGCCCTGTTGGCTTGACTCCCCCTTTATGAGATGTTCGTCCGATTGCTTATGACAACGACAATCTGTATCTGCTTTAATATGTCAATACATATCTTAGTTCAAGTGATTTTTTTTTTCCTAGGATGGTAGTAGCCCTATCGGCTTGACTGTAGATGATGTGAAAAAGAGTCATAACCATAACCATAACCTATCAATATCAGGCCTTATAATTACCTGATTTAAATCGATTTAGTTTTTTGTTTTTGTTTTCTCCCGATTTCTTTTTTTTTTCTTTTTTTTTTTCCTTCCTGATATCCCTATTTTCCAGATTTTTCTCTTATTTTCTCTATTCTTCCCTCCCCCCCCCCAATTTTCTTTAAAAAAGGGGGGGGGGATGTTGTTAAAAGCCATTTCCCCCCCCCCCCCCCCCCCCCCCCCCCCCCCGAATCCTCTTTTTTTAAAACTCAAGGTGGGCGTGCTCACTATCACCCCTGCAATATGTATATTTCAATTCAAGTAATTTCTATTTCCCTAGGATGGCAATGACCCTGTCGGCTTGACTGTAGATCATATGAAGAAATCAATATGTATATTTCAATTCGAGGGATGCCAGTTTCCAGGTAATAGCCGGAATTCAGGCACTGGCGTGTTATTTTCAGACCATAGTTTAGGCTTTTTTGTATACAAAATAGCTCATTCTAGGTGATTTTCAGGCCCTCTGATCAATTCTAACTGGCAAACCTGCAATTCATTTTTTTTCTCCCTAGGATGGCAATGGCCCTGTCGGCTTAACTGTTGAGGGTATGAAGAAGACTCCCTACTTGATCCCTCTCGACGAGACGGTCGTCCAGATAGCGTCCGGTAACGATCACCTGTGCATGCTGACCAACCAGGGGGAGATCTACACCATGGGTTGCGGTGAGCAGGGTCAGCTGGGAAGGATACACGAGTGCTTCTCGATACGGGGTGGAAGGAAGGGAGTCAGTAAGTACATCTTTTTCATTGATTTCAATTGGGTGGTATTCTCATAAGTTAAGCCGGGACTAAGTCCAGACTAAACAAGAATTTTAGTTCACACTTCTATGGAATGCTAGGTTTCATCTTCCTCCTTCAATATTCATGACAAAGATAATCTACCAAAGACTTTATTGAAATTCAGTTCATATTCATATTTTTTTTTCCTTCCCATTTCATTGCAAAATTAATTTAATAATCTGTACATGGTAAACTAGTTTGCAACAGGCAATCCATAAAAGTGTGAACTAACTAAGTACGCGCTAACTTAGTACGCGCTACCGGAATACCACCCAATGGCTAATCAAACATTTAAAGACGTCATTTAACAATGTTAAATCTGAGATGCGTGTTATCAGTGTCTGTGATATGGTGGAATATTGAAGCCCTAAAAAAAATTGTGCTTCAAAATGATCAAGAATTGCCTCAAAAAAGTAAAAATCTTAAGAGTGACTAGTTTTACCATACTCGTTTCCCCCAATAGACTGTAGTGTTATGAAAACCGTTAGGAAAAACGCAAAATTTGATTTCGTTTTCCAATCATAAATACCTTGATAATCAGACAGGCGATCGGCTTGTAAAAGTCATGGGTTTCCTGACTGACTTAAAGGTTTTTAATTATCATTGCAGCATGAGCTAAATCCAGGATTTTGTTTCAGAATCTGAGGCAAAGATACCCGATCCCTTTAAGATAATGGTTCATCTAATACACCAGTTTACGGTTAGGGGCGCCATTTTAATTTACGAGTAAACAAACCAAATGACCTCTAGAGGTCAGTGGTTTATGCGTAAATTAAGATTGCGCCCATGCAAATTATGATGACATCACTGCCTGCGCGCTGCGTTGTGCGCACACATCATAATTTGAATGGGCGCTATCTTAATTTATGCATAAATACCACTGACCTCTAGGTCATTGGATTTGTTTACTCGTCAATTAAAATGCCGCCCATGTCTGTGCATGCGCACTGATGTAACCGTAAACTGGTGTATAGAGATGCCAATTTTCAGGCCATAGTCTTGTTTCAGACCTTGGTACCTCCTTATTTCAGGCATTATCAGGCTTCATGTACATTATATATATATATATATATGGTAGGCCAACTTATCAAAGTTTATACTTCAGACTCACTTGTTGGTATCATTGATATAAGTTATTTATTCATTCTGAGCATCAAAACCTTTCTAGAAAACGAAGGAGCTCTTCTTCCACGTTTACAAGTAAATTATTCATACCCTCACCAGGTTTTGTTATTATTGAAAAATTGAATTATTTTTGTTGAGAATGTGACATATGAAAGCTCACAGCTAAAAGTATTAAACAAAGGCCTTAATTTAACTTATTCACCTTTCATTCTTGAGTTAGCAAAAACATCAAATTTGCAATTGGTATGAATAATTCTGCTGTTAACCATATGTACTGCTTGATCATTTATTTTATTCTGTAGGGGTAACAAGTATCTTTTATCAATAATATCTTCACCGGACGTAAGTTGGTCTTGTGGGCCAGCACCCTTGTCTGTATGGAAAGCAACCCATGGCTTTCAGGGCAGCGTTTCACAAAACTTTCATAAGTACAAGTTTTCTGAGACCCTCATTGAAATGAGTGTATTCAAATTAACGCGATGTCCAGATGTAGATGTTAAAGCCCCTCTGCACTAGTTTGGCCAGGAGGGATTAGACCTCCTTGCATGGTCACCGACAGGCTGTTATCTCATCAAATCAGCTCTCAATTACCATAAGAAAAAGGGGATCATGGGGGACCAATGGTTACCAATTAGGCTTTGTTTGCTATACAATAATAATAATAATAACAATGGGTTTTTGTATAGCACTCATGTCAGTCAGATTTGACCCTCCTGGCACTCCCGATTATTACCCTTGCTTTAGCACGACTGCCATACACCAGACCAAATTCCTACCAGGTACCCATTTATAGAGGGCGCAAGTAGCTATAAGTAGTGCAGTGGGGCTTTGAAAGTTAACATTTATTTAATAAAAATTTGTCTTTTAATAGATTTCTTTCTATTTTTTTTTTTTTTTTTTTTTTACTTCTCAGGTATTCTATTAGAGCCTTCCATTGTGATCTGTAAGAGAGTGAGAGGTAAAGGCAAGGTCATGTTTGATGGAGTCTGGTGTTCCAATTACTGCACATTCGCTCGAGTGAAAGGAGGCGGAGGCATGTATGGATGGGGGCTCAACAACTATCATCATTTAGGTAAGTTTAGCTATGAGTGCAGTTGTACCTTCTTGTGTCACATTCAATTGGAGACGACTGGACCCTTGTTGATTAAAATACACTTTTTATATCAATGGAAAACTGAATGAAGGTAGAATACAATGTGAAGGAATACAAAATATTTTCCATATGAGTATTGCACAAAAGCAAATTAAAACCTCGTGAAAACTTCCAAATTACAGGACACCAGGGATCAAATTTGGCGCATTTACGGTGACGACATAACATGTGGAACTGATCCACTGGCCTATATAGCTGAAGCAATGAGCCATGTTTGATTATTGCAAAGTCATTGTGAATATGTGTACTCCACAGATAAGATGATGTCATCAAGTGGCTAGCTAGTTTTAAGGTTGACAACTTCTGGTTTTCATAGCTTTAGATTTTGAGTTTTCAGAGAGCTATTACTCCTCTGACGGACACCAAAGCAGCTATTAATTGATATTATTGTAATATATGGCTCATTAGCTTTCCATTTATATATAATTTTTCACTTCTGACAGGGACTTTAGTACTGAAACTTCTATTAAAAAATAGGTGTAAACTTTGCTAATTTATAAAGAACTCTTTCTTTTCTTGGGAGCAGTCTACATAACAATTTTTTTTTTATAGACAAGTAAAATAAGATTGATTTAGTAGGTATTATGATATTTTCATCAACTGTTTCTCTCTGTGACCCTACTGTGGTGTATATGCCTGTCTCACTCTCTTTCCTCTCCCCCTTTATTTGTTTATCTGTCTGTCTGTCTGTCCGTCTGTCTTTCTCTCTCATGTACTTGGTCTTTCACCTTTTTCTTCATCTCTCTCTGTTTCTGCCTCTCATTTTCCTTCATCTCACTGTTCACACACATGTTTTCTTTTTAACTCTCTCTCTTTCTCTCCCCTCTCTCTCTCTCTTTCTCTCCCCTCTCTCTCTCTCTTTCTCTCACTCTCTCTCTCTCTCTTTCTCATCTCTAGGTCTAGAGAATGTGAAGTCTTGGTTCACCCCTCAGCCCATCACATCTTTCAATGATGTCCAAGTGGAAGCAGTATCAGGTGGACAGCATCACTCCATTCTACTAGACGCTCAAGGTAAAAATCCTCAAAATTTTGTAACCTTTGTTTGGACATGACAGAATAAATTGCCCCTAAAATTGAAATTAATAATTGAATAAAGTAATAATAATAATAATAATAATAATACATCGATTTATATGGTGCCATTATCCATTCTAATTAAATGCTCAAGGCGCTTGATCAAAATAATAATAATATAAATCATTTTAAGTGTGTGAATGGCTAGTCAGGGTTTATAAAAGCTGTTCTTCATACATAGTACGAAGTCCCTCAGATTGTACCATGTTGTCACTATTTCCTTAGAATACAGTTTTGTGATGTGCACTATACTTATGTTCTTACTTTCCTGTGACATTCTTTGACAGGTTTTAACTTTTACCCTGTCTAGACAAGGCTTTACTGTACTAATTGTTTTCATCTTCAGACTTCTTTAATAGGGGACATTGAACAGTAGATGGATGGTACTTCCTTTTTGTTTACTTTCTCTGCAGCTCCCTCTTCCACTCTCAATAACGTCATACTCGCTAATCATTTGGATGACTAGTGGTAGATCATTTTCAAAAGAAACCTGTTTTTTTGTAAAGAAATGTCAACATTTGGTGTAAACCGTCAAGGAGATATTGTGATTTTCTAGTTTTTTATGGAATGATTATCAAGCATTTAATTCTCCTTACTTTATTTATCTTAGTAGGAGCGAGATCTAAGCGTCACTATGTCCAGTATTGGCTTTATTATCATGTGCAAACTGATAAAACAGTTAATTAATATCTGAGTCAACATTTTTACCTCTGGCAACTTTATTTATGGCATTTAAAATCTGATATTTGTATACCTCCGCCATCAAAGATGGTGTTGAAGACATTATGCATACCTTCCAACCCTTCGAAATAATCCAGAATATTACGATTTGTCAGAAGTTTGATTTTGTTTGTTTTTGTTTGTGCTAAAGCCAAATTAAGCTTGTTTTTTTCATGTGTCGCAATTTGAGAGTTCACATATTGCATGCGTATAATGGCTGCATGATCGAGCAGTGAATTTGTATTCCCTTTTTGGTACAGATTTACCGTGTATTGCCTGTTACACTGCAGCTGCAAGTGCGATTTCTTTTTTTTGAAGGCATACACTGTACTGTGCTAAAAATTCCTAATTCTTGTTTTTACAAATGTTTGCAGGTATGCATTATGCTTTCAGGTTGTTTATCTCGCTTTCCGTTACCGCTGTAACTTAAAATCATTGAATGGATTTTAACCTATCTTGGATCAAGTATGTATGGGCATGTAAGGAAGTACTGATTACATTATGTGTACATGCACACATAAGAGGTCAAAGGTGAAAGCGAACTAGGTCATGAAAGTGTTAAAAATCCCCCCAAATATCTTAAAACTGTGGTAACTTATCAAAAATGGAACCAATGTCGACCAAACTAGGCTCAAGTGCATTTGAACATTAAAAGATCAAGTGAAAAGAGTTTGGGTTTTTGAGGTCGGAAACTAAAGGTCACAGGATCATCGATCAGTGAACTTCCTATACGCAGAGTCGTGTTAGAGACGCAGTCGCATTCGTATCTCACTTCTGATGGTTTTTACCTCTGGCATTTTACCACTGATGATTTTGCCTTTGATATTTTTTTTACCACAGAAATTATCGTCCTTGGAAATTTTTGCTTGTGACACTTTCATCTCTAACACTTTTTGCCTCTAACATTTTTGCCTTTTTACCTCTGACAAAACTCATCAAGGTAATGAAACAAAGATTCAACAGTGACAATGATGATGAAGATTTTTACCTGTGGTTTTCCCCTAGCAATTTTTCACTGTACATCTTTCCTCTGGCATTTTTACACTGATCCCAATTAAGGATGTGACACAAAATATAAAATGACATAGATGAGTGAAGTTAGTGTATTACTTTTATTAGATAGAATAGCAGTAGCAAATACATATTATGCATTTATACATTATGTACAGTATTCTGAAACTAAATCTCTGAAACTCTATGAAACTTGAATTAATTTTTTTCTTAAATTGTTTTAAAATACAAATGATTCATGTGAATGAGTAGAGGTGTCACTGTCTAGTATAGGGCTTCTCAAAGTCCAAACCATGGGGAATGTCAATCCGGACCGCCTGTGAAGATCTGATTTTTTTTGGGTGGTTATATCCCTAAAAGGTCCAGAGGGGCAGATTCCACCGTGGCCCCCAATCTTTTTTTCTTAATTCTTTTTAAAAATAAAAATAATTCATGTGAATGAGTAGAGGTGTCACTGTCTAGTATAGGGCTTCTCAAAGTCCAAACCATGGGGCATGTCAATCCACCGTGGCTCCCAATCTTTTGATACCAAATTTATGTTAATTAATATTAATTAATTTCGACCAAATGGGCACTGTGCAGCGTCAAAAAATGTGCATTAAATGGGTGGCCGGTAGGAAGAACTCAGGGACACCAGATCTTTGCTTATTGAAGTTTCCAGGTCATCTTGACTTACGATGCCTTTCACATGTCAAACTAAAGGAATTAAAAACCTTACAGTCATAACTACGAGACCATAAAATCCACTACAGTCTACTAGTCTACACCACTGTCTAGGTCTTAATGAAATCAAGTAATCAAATCATGTAAATCAATTCTTAAATTCCTATCAAAGAGTTTTGATCAACAAACGTTATTCACTATTTACAGACACAATAGTGTGGTACAGTATGTCACTGAAACAGCTCCCGCAGGACTTTTGTGCCAAAATTGTTTTTTTTCATGCATTTTTGGATTCATTGGGGTCCAAGCTATCAGAAATTGATGGAGGTCTGAAAATTTGAACCCCATCATTTTTGGCCAATTGGGACCCTTCAATTTTGGCAAAAAAATCCTACGGGATTACATACCATACCGCACTACAACTTTCACTACACATTGTGAATACTTATTCAACTTATATACAGATAAATACCATTCATACAATGAGATGCCCCTCTCCCCATCTTTAAATCAAAGCATGTAATGGACTCACCACGCTGCCGAAATTCAATGCAACCCTATGAAAATATCACTTGCTGTAGCAGAGCTACTGCAACAAATCTAATACATGTATTTCAAGGTAAATTCTTTGACATGTAATTCATTAATAAAATCCTTTTATAAAGATTCCCATACCTGCCAACTGTTCAGATTTGATCAGAATATTTTGAAATCTATATTTTTTTGCACCTTAAAATTTGAAATATTCCAATTGTTCAAAAATATGAATGACCCAATAATTTTTTTTTTTTAAAGACAAATTTGGCTTGTTTTACCATGTGCCGTGATGTTGAGATTCGTGTATTGTGTGCGTTGAAAAGCTGCACGATCGACAGTATACAGTACAGATTTACCACGTATTGCCAGTTACACTGCCACTGCATACATGTACATGGCCATTGTATCGCCTGTTCAATACACACATACATGTATGCCTGTACCCTCGGTTTAATAAAATTTGGAGTGGACTAAAAGATTATTATTATTATTATTATTATTATTATTTCTTATTTCTTATTTTTGAATGTTGGCTGGTATGGAATCCTTCTCATTTCAGCAATTCATATAGAAATTAATAACAAAACATCAAATTACATTACTATGGCGAAGAGACATCAAACCATGGGCGTCAATCCTTACGTAATACCTATTGTTCATGGGGGATGAATGAATAGATCCAGATACAGATTTACCGCCCATGCATCAAACACCTATCATCTAAAAATTCTGATCACCTGCTGTCTACAAATCGAATAAATCATTCCTATTACCGGCGTCTTAAAAGCATTTCTGTCTTCCGACATGTGAAAAGTACATGTACATGTATGTTATAAAACTGTTAAGTGTTAAGCTACATAGAAGTTGTTTTTTTTTAAACTTAAAGGTAAAGACCAGTATTGGAAACGCCCCAATTTCAAAAAATGAAATGGAAGCTCTCATTACCAATCATGTGAAAGAATATGTTTTGACTAATACATGATGATAAAAAATTTGCCGGGAAACCGCTTACTAATTCATATATTTGGTAATTTTGTTTCTCTCATGGTCTGTGAGAGATATAGGGTAGTCCCATATACATCTTTCTGTGTATAGTGCTTGTAACTTTACGAAGAATGGGCCAAATTTCTTATCATTTTGATGATTCCAGAACCTTGCAGATGCTAGATGCTAGATGATCAACCTTTTCTGATCGATTCCACAACGTTTCTTTCACAATGCAATTGCATGACCATAACTGGTCTTTACCTTTAAAAAAGGAAAATACATACATACATGTAAATTAACATTTTATGTGTCAAAGTGCACATGAAAAAAAAGAAGAAAATTAGGCAAACTTATGTACATCTGTCAAGCTTGAACTCTCATTTATTCATTGAATGCTGCAATCGGATGATTGAGAGATATAGCCTTGTGAATTGCAAGTTTGACATCATCCCATGGAAGGTGATCACAACTACGTGTACATGCAGATTTGTACTTGCTTTCTTTCTCTGATCTCCCATTATCTGTCCATGCCGTAGTTCAGCGTTTTTGTGGATCTCCTATTATCTGTCCATGCCGTGGTCCAGCGTTTCGTGGATCTCCCATTATCTGTCCATGCTGTGGTCCAGCGTTTCGTGGATCTCCCATTATCTGTCCATGCTGTGGTCCAGCGTTTCGTGGATCTCCCATTATCTGTCCATGCCGTAGTCTAGCGTTTTGTGGATCTCCCATTATCTGCCCATGCCGTAGTCCAGCGTTTCATGGGTCTCCCATTATCTGTCAAAAAAATGAAATAAGGAAATATAGAAGAAAAGATGATAGAAAGATAAAAACAAAGAATAACATAAGGACATACATGTACATAGAGATAAAAAGAATAAAAGGATTAAAATAAAATGACATGAAAAGGATAGAAGAGAAAATTGAAATAAGTAATAAACAAGAAGGAAAGGTAGAAGATCGCTTATTGCGTGAGCCACGTCAACCCATTGTGACTTCTTTAGTGGAGGTTGCATTTATTAAAGAAATAAAACATGTAAAGTGATGAGAGTATAGCAAAAACAGCTAGATATCGCTGGGATTACATGTTTGGTACGCATCGAGTAGTGTGAAACGCATTCATATTACGCAGAATCCCCTTCCTGTCTGCACTTATACGGACTTGAACCTAGTGTTGAGGCGGATCGAGAGACGCTGATAGCATTCAATTAGGTTTTCGTTCCCGACTAAGTCCAGATTTAATCTGAATTTACATCATTTACTCCCCTTTTACCCCTAATATGAAAAGGATATTAGATAAACATGCAAGTTAAAAAGAAGGAGTGCTTTTGTGCAAAAGATTCTGGTCTTACTTTTAAGAACTTCATGCAGCACTATCCATTTCGACTGCATTCCCATTTGTTGCATTAGGTTTTGATACATGTAGATCTCCCAGTTCCAGACCTGGACGTGGTTCTACTTGTAAAATGTTTGTTGTTTGGATGTGGATGTTGTTGTTGGGTGTACTTACACGCATATAAGTACGCCTTCTGCTCCTGATCATAAGCACAAGTACAATCACAATCCCAAGCACAACTGGTAAGAGCATCACAGCACATACGCTGAAGTAGAATGTTGCTAACTGCATGTCGTAGCTCACATGAGAAGGTGGCAAATTTCTTAGCGGATCTTCGTTTAAGGCGTTCTGGTTTTTCGTCAAGTTATCATGCAATTTGTTAAAGTTGTCATTCAATTTGTCAAAGTTTTCGTTCAATTTATTGAAGTTATCTTGCATATTTGCTATGCATGCCTGATCACACTTGATTTTCTGGTCTTGAGTTTCATCAGCATTTGTCTCAGCGCTTGTCACATTTCTTTGTTGTTCTTTGTTATTGACGTAAACAGTCAAGGGTTGGCCTCGCGTGGTATAATTCACGGTCTCAGTCCTTGCCTCCCAGTGATAGTTCCCCTCATCCTTGAATTCTGCACCGTGCACACTCACTGTGACTTTTACCTCTACACAACCGGTACTAGATGGCGCAAAGGTATATCTTGGTGTCCACCGTCCTGAGTATGCATCATCAATCAAATACCCTGTGATGATATCTTCATCATATCTCACAAGGCTAATCTTACTCACGTTTGAGTAAAGTTCATCCATCGTTCTGGTCCAAAACTTAATGGACATTGTTGTAGTGAAGTTTTCACCCTTATAGACTTCTACAGGTTCAGTAACCTGCCCTGCACATGTACATGAGTCCGGTGTACCAGTACATGTATGTAATGACATCGCGGTACTTGTGGAAAGAAATGCCAATAAAAGAGTAAATAGACACAAAGGCCATATAAAAGCCTTTGCCATGGCCATATTGTCGCTGGACTTTGGTATTCCTAAATTCCTTTCAATGTATTGTAGACAAATTTTAAGTCACGTTCGATCTCTCCGCTAAAAATCTAGTCGTACATTCACGCTAGATGCGGTGACTGTGAATGGATTACACACATGTAGTATACGTCATAGATGTATGTATTCGATTCACGGTCATCGGTTATAGTAGGCTTGATCTCAGGCTACCAGTAGATTGTTTACTACCAGGTACCCAATTTGTCTATTCTCATAAGGTTTACACCCAGTCTGTCTACTATCAAGTATCAACATGGTACTTAGAAATTAGAAAACTTTATTTTTGAAAGGTTTTGTCAATTATCAAAGCTGAGAAAGAGAGGAAGAGAGAAAAAGAAAAATCCCTTATCGTTCAAAGGGTTCGTGACCTTAGTCCCATTGTAAGTAAAGTGAAAAAGCAAGTTTATGGAGATTCATTGAAGCGAGTAATGTACTAAATATTGTAAGTGGTAGGCCTACATGAGTTTTGACAAAGTTTTCATTTTCCCCCACACATATTAGACCGTGGGATGTGTTTTTTCCAAAGAATTTTGCATGCGTGTGTATACATGTAGCAAGTTAGGCAGTTTATTCCGGTTTCACAGACTTTAATTTCAAAACTTAAAGTAAGTCGGACCACATGCACAATGCATGATCTACCCTATCTGTCAGACTATATGGATGTACATTAGATGTAAACTATTGAATAAAATACAAGCCAATTAATTGTTAGCTTCACCTGTAAGAGCATTGCAATGTAAACACAAGGCGCATACTTGGGCTCAAGCAAGGGTAGTTTGGACACACTATAGGCTACAGGCAAAACTATATTTTGACCCATAAACAGGCATTGTGCAGCCCACATAAAAAAAAAAAACCCAGACTTCTAGTGGCGTCACTGGCGTAAGTGCTCACAGTCGTCGAAAGGCCATGGGGAAAATGTCAAGGTTGCGAAGTCAAATGATGAAATGGGGGTCAGATCAACAGAAATTTAGATAACAGAAACAAAAGATAACTTACAAAAGCTCAACATGGGTGAAATAATTACTAGAGCCCACTTAAGAAATTAAGTATACTCTGCTCAGTCGACTACACCTGCATGTTACATCCCAGCTGAGGAGTTTATGGAGTAGCCCACCAGAACCAGAACTAGAAATTTGCTCGCTAATTGCACTGCTGCACTATGCCTGTGTACGCATGATAGAAAATCTGAAGCTTTAGGTGTGAGTTCTCAATATTGATTTTGAAATACACCATTAGGGATAAAGAAAATTAATAATCACATACTTTTTCATGGTCTAACTCACTTCCTGTTTTTTCTCTTTCCATGCTAGGTCACATGCATGCCATCGGTAGAACAAACTATGGCCGTCTCGGACTAGGTGAAGACTGTGAGGAATCCCACATACCCACCCTCATTTCATCAGTCAAGATGGAGAAGTTTACCAATATCGGATGCGGGGCCAGCGTCAGTTTAGGATGTACAGATACAGGTGAGCATGCCCAACAGAAAGGAGCAGGGTTCTTGGTAGTGTACAGAATCCCTGGAGGGTGTTTCACAAAACTTGTCATCAGTGACAAATGACAAATTGTGTTATAAGCTACTGAAATCCTTGCTTCTGATTGGTCATCAGCAGATTTGTCACTGATTTTTGTCATTTGTCATTGAAAAAAGGCTTTGTGAAACACCCCCTGGTACCAATACCAATGCAGGAGGTGCAATGGCTCAGTGGTAGAGCAGTGGTCTTGTAACTGGGAGGTCCCGGGTTGGAAACCAAGTTGATGCACTTGTGCCCTTTCGTTTGGCATCGATCCTCATTGCCAAGTCCCTCAGAGAGGACTTAAAGCTGTCGGTCCCCTGATTGTTTACTCTTTGCAGTCAGGTTAAACAAACAAATCAACAAACTAAGAATGGAAATTTTAGAAAAATCCCGATTGCAATTTCTCCCTGACAAGGCTACCGAAAAGGGTAAAAATATTTGTTAGTCCATGCTTTCAACATTTGATCCACCCATATGTACCCCTTGAAAGAGGTCAGATCATATTTCATGCACTGTGAACTACTGGCAAAGTCTGGCTGAGAAACCTACTGATAGCCGAACAAGTGGAAGTACACTTTACTAGCATTTCTCAAAGAAGGGTCTTTTAAGGAAATCGTTCACAGTTATGGATATATTATAAGTTCTCCTTTGACAGGGATAGGTTAATTTTTTAAAGGCCTAATTTCATATTAAATAACTTATATTGTCAAAGTGGTTTGATTACATTTGTTCCATGATCAACATCATTAAATAACAATTCCTAAATGCAAACCTGGGGCCCCATTTTCACAAAACTTGTCATCACTGACACTCAAATGATAGGTTTTTGTTACAAGCTAGTGAAATCCTTGCTTCTGATTGGTTATCAGCATATTTGTCACTCATTTTTTCCATTTGTCATGGGAACAAGGCTTTGTGGAACTGGTCCCTGGACCAAACACCAAGCCTAACTTTAAACTAGGGCTGAGTCATCACGGGTTTTACCAAACCCAGGTTTGACTTGAAAATTTCGGGCGGGGACCGGGTACCCGAAATTTTCACCACTGACACTAAAAATCGTATGCATGCAGCAGCGGGAGTTAAGATTAGGCAGTTGTTCTAATAATAAGACAGTTACTGCTTTCAAAGCAATAATATAATCAATTGAATTAAATGAAGATGCTTTAAAAAATAAATGGATATCATTTCAGTTGATGGTAGGTGTTTTTATCGCTCTAAAATTGAGGCTGCAAGAAAGGAATCACGCTTCGTGGTGTGGCACCGAGTGCGTTCAGAAACGGAAGTGGAAATATGACCCACTGAAGACTGAGCAAGTTAAGAAAGTCCCACACGCAAGACTAAAATGTTGATCAGACTATAACAATTAAATCGTAATACTAATAGGCATTAATTTAATTGTAAAAATATATCCACAACATAATGGTTTACCCTTGATATTTTGATGAAGGAAAATAATTTAAAGCTCTTTAAATAACATCGAAGTGCCTTTCGTTCGTTCTTAAAATGCGTGTGTATTAAACGGCAAGCTGGAGTAGTGAAGTTACGAGTCAAGCTTGATATGCGTGTTTACATCCCTACACCGTCATCCGAGCTAATCGGAACAATAAGCATTAAACCTATTAAAAAACATCACGTAAGGCTTTCATATTCATAATATCTTACAGAAATAATGATATTTCATGAGCTACGTACTCGATATCGAGTTCAGCTAGCCATCATTTTGAAATGAGACGTATAATTGTCATCGGTGCAGTAGACTGTAGAGGGCAGCATGCATCAGAGAGGGAAAAAATTGCGGGCCTTAGATCACATGATATTCGCGTGCCTTAGATCACGTAATATTTTCCTCTCTGCTGCACACTGTCAATAGTCTACTGCGCTGCGTGACAAATTACGTCTCATTTCGAAATGATGGCTAGCTGAACTCGATATCGAGTACGTAGCTCATGAAATATCATTATTTCTGTAAGATATTATGAATATCTATAGTAATTATTTGTCAAAGCAAATTATTATTTTACAGTAATTTTGTTGGATTGGAGTCCCTGAAAGTCTCACGTGATTTTTTTAAATACTTTAATGCTTATTGTTCCGATCTGCTTGGATGACGGTGTAGGGATGTAAACACGCATATCAAGCTTGACTCGTAACTTCACTACTTCAGCTTGCCGTTTAATACACACGCATTTTAAGAACGAACGAAAGGCACTACGATGTTATTTCAAGAGCTTCAAATCATTTTCCTTCATCAAAATATCAAGGGTAATCTGTTATGTTGTGGATATATTTTGACAATTAAATTTATGCGTATTAGTATTACGATTTAATTGTAATAGTCTGATCAACATTTTAGTCTTGTGTGTGGGACTTTCTTAACTTGCTCAGTTCTCAGTGGGTTATATTTCCACTTCCGTTTCTGAACGCACTCGGTATGGCCATGAAGCGCGATTCCTTTCTTGCAGCCTCAATATTAGAGCAATGAAAACACCTACCGTCAACTGAAACGATATCCATTTATTTCTAAAGCATATTTATTTAATTCAATTGAAATAGAAGTTTGTGAATTGCATTTTTTGAGTTCTTTATTTCAAAATATCAGTGTGAAATTTAAAAATTTTGAAAAACCCGAAGCCCGAATATTCAAACCCGGGTTTTAGCGCGGCGGTCGGGGACCGGGCGGGGAACCGTTTCGACTCAGGCCTACTTTAAACCTTAGCTAAATTCCTATTACACATCAACTAATCGTATATTTTCGGCAAAAAATGAAATCAGGAGCGAATATCTGGTCAGCATCAAGGTTAAAAAACCCTAGACTTCTTGTTCAAATTATTTCTGTACCTACTCTATCCTACAGGAGACGTGTACGCCTGTGGCATGGGTAGCAATCTTCAGCTCGGGAACGGTGACGAAGACGAAGATCTCCACGTACCGACCAAGATCATCAGCAAGCAATTAGAAACCAAGAAAGCCGTCAAGGTCGCCTCCGGAGGGCAGCACACCATCATTTTAGCAGTAGAAAAGTAGCAATAGTTTGTAGAGAGTAAGAATAGAATAAATGTAATTTTGGTGGGGTGATAAAACCTTGTAACTAACAAAAATGTTCAATCTTGTATTAAACTATTAAAAGATGCTTAATTTTACAGGAGGGAAAAAATGTAATGTTTAACAATCTTCCGTAATAGATCACTCGAGGCACTTTAGCATTTTTGCATTAGAACATCTAATTGGTCCTTAGCTACAAATTAATGAAGCAAAAGAAAGGTGAATTATTTTTCAAAAATTGATTCAAGAGGTTTTATCACCCCACTGTCAATATGAGGGTCCAACATTGTTTCATTAGTCTTAACGTCTACCACAAATATACATGCAAACCAATTTTCCCTGGCTGTATGTGTTGTAGAAAGTGTAATATTTATGCAATTAAAAGCATCAGGTAATTGTCAGTGTTTGCAGTTATTCGATTTTCCCTTGCAAACCAGGGTCTGCTCTGTGTATGCTTTATTCATCAGACTTGCATTGAAAACGTCACAAGTTGCAATTACACGCTTGTTGGTAATACCATGGCACTCACAAAAACGTTACACTTTCACAGTAATTCTAATTGCGCTTTAGCAGTTATTGTTATTATGCGCTTATGTTATCTTCATGCCATTGTTATGGGTTGGATGCATGAATATATTTGAATTTCAATCACTCCTCACAGATGTTTCAACTACTCACAACATGCTGCTCTCCACAATACATGTTTATTCTCAGTGTTGTTTATTTCACTGTATTGTAATGCCTGTGATCATCTTCAAATCAAATGTTTTAATGTTGGACCCTAACAATGATGTAATTTTTAAAAAGTGTACAGTTTAATATTCATTTCCCCTGATTATCGTGAACTCTTCTCTGTATTGTCTCTGTTTTTTTAATTCAGTCATAAACCATGAAACATTATGTTTCTTTATAATCGGCTTTCAAATATGAAAATACCACACCATCAAGCTCTACTTTGCTGATTTGATATTGATTTCACGGTATTTATCATGCCAATAGATGGTAAAAAAAAGAAATTTCAGCAGTCAGTTTTCCATGAAATGTACTACACAATGATGAGTGTTTTTGTGCTCTGCTCAAAAACCCATTTTCTTAATGTAACCAAATTGAGTACATGCGTCTATGTGAAGTGCCTCGATATAAATGATTCCATTCACCTGTCACATATAATGATATTTCTATAGTCAGAATGCAAATTACATATTTGTTGTTAGGTAGGGCAAGCCATAATGTTTGTCCTACCTAGCAACAACCAATATACATGTATGCAATTCACTTTTTTACTATTGATATACTATCATGATTTGTAACAGTTGAATTGAATAATTTGTATTGAGGCACTTTACAAAGACTTAATGCATTAAATTGGGTTACATTACGAAAATGGCCTATTTAATGTATGCGTCTTTGTGAAGTGCCTCAATACGAATGATTTCATTTTATCATGTCACAAATGATTTTATTTCTATAGTCAGATTGCAAATTGCATATATTACATGTTGTTAGGTAGGGCAAGCCATAAGGTTTGTCCTACCTAGCAACAACTAATATACATGTATGCAATTCACTTTTTTACTATTTTACAGTTGAATGAAATAATTTGTGTAGCGACACTTCACAAAGACGTATGCATTACATTTGATTACATTACAAAAATGGCCTACAAGTTGTGTTCCTACCATTTTTACAGCGATGGTATAAAGATGAACAATGTTTCAAAAGAAAAAGGAAAACAAGATAGTATTTGTGTAAACTATGCAAAACATTAAAAGCAAGCTTAAAATTTAACAATGTGTAAGCCTTGGCCTCAGAAATCCTTAAAATCAGTAAAGATATCAATTATAGTTTTAGATTTGAATAGTATGTATATAAACATAAATGATGTGTGTTAGAGTATATTGCATGAAAGTCATGAAAGGTAACAATGTGTAGGTAACTTGTAATCAAAATTACGAAAACTGTAAATGAGGTGAACTGATTTATTTTCTATCTCCATTTCCTTGAACAAAAATAAAAGAAATAAAAGGGTCAACATCAGTCTTCGTCCATAAATGTTAATACTGGTAATCATCTTTTTTTAGTTATCATCATTACGTTGCTAATATGTTATTACTGTGCCAACTGCAATTCCATATTGTGTTTTCGCTAGGCTTGATTAAAAAAGCCATGCTTGCATTAAGAACTCCACCGTAATTATGTAGGTCGTGAAGTGATCAATTCGCATTTAAGATCCTTCGACTTTAAACTTTGACTTCAAACTTTAAATCCTTTGACTGTTATAACTAGAATCAATCAGTGGTAGACTTGTTATGTGCACCATCTCTGTAAGCACTGTGTTTAGCAATTTGAAAAAAATATCTTTGTAAAGACATTGATACAGTTTTCTTGATTTTTTATGACTCGCTAAGGTCTGAAAAATGTAAGATAAATCAAACATAGAAACTTAATATGTCATCCAACAGTATGCAACCAGTTTGTCTACTACCCAAATGGTCTAATCCTATATGGTCTATACATTGGCCTGTTTACTATCCACATGGTATAATAATCATTTCACCTCCCTATCATTTGGTCTAATGACCGTTTTGGCTGATAGTCATTCGATCTGATCTCCAATAAGTCTATAACCCATTTGGTCTATTGCTCATTTAATCTATTTCCAGTCGGTCTAAATCCCAGTTTGTCTAATGCCTATTTCTTCTATATCCATGAAGTCTAATTATAATCATTTGGTGAGTATTATTATATATGAATAAATGATTATTAGACCATATGAATAGTAGACACAATGGACATTTCACAAACTGGTAATTAGGCTAACTGGTATTATACTAAGTGAACAATAGACCAAATAGGTAGTAGAATTATTGGAGTTTAGACTGAATGGTCATTAGACAAAACCATAAGTAGACAAAATGATTACTAGACCAAGTGGGTACACTGGATAGTAGACGAGGTTGTTGTAGACCAAATGGGAATGGACTAATGTTGTAGTAGATGATCTGGTTGTAGACCAATTGGCAATTCACCAGCAAGCAAAAATAATGTGTATCACTTTATTAATGACTTTGCACAGTCTTTTTCATGTTGGCTTCCTAAATTGCATGTCATCCTACGTCCGTTTCCAGTGCCTTATTGTCAGTTTACATGTTCAATTTCAGTTTGGTAAACATCTTGTTCATAATTATGATTAAAGTTGAATATTTTGTACTAAATCAAGAATAGTGTATGAGTGTTATTTGTAGCATGTGTGTGTTGGTCATGGTAAGTTCATCTTCATTAATTCATTTACCAGAAGTTTTTCAATATTGAGACAGATATGAAATCCTTTTTAATAGTTAATTTTCCCTAAATAGTTTATTTACCAGGAATTTTTCAATATTTAGACAAATATGAAATTCTTATAATTGTTCCTTTTCCTCTGAATTACATTTAAATTCCTTCTTTTCCTTTATAATTTGTTCTTCATAATCACGTGATCTCATGTTTATTTCTTGTTAAAAAGCATTACTTATTAATCCTCTGTTGATTTTTTTTAGAAAAAACATTAATGTATTGATAGAGAGAGAGAGAGAGAGATAGAGAGAGGAGGAGAGAAAATGAGGAAAACAGATTGGGGGGGGGGGAGAGAAGAAAAGGGAAAGAGACATAAACATTGATCTGATACACAGATAAAGATGGATAAAGACGGCAGATGAAAGCAAGAATAAAACATAAAATGGACAAAAGGAATGAGGGGAGGGAGGGGAAAAAGATCGATGGGGGGGGGGGGGGGACATTGTAAGTACCTGTACAAAATCCCAAGTGAAAAAAAACTAGGCCACGTTTGTGAAAACATTACCTAGTTTTTTTTTACTTATTCAATGGATCATTACAAAAGAATCCCTACCCAAGCAAACATCATATTAACACTTTTAAGGACTAAACTCCTCCTAACCAAAGAGCCGACAATGGGGTTTTCCGCCAGAGGAAATTGGATAACCTTAAAATTTGTCCTTTCCTCAGCTTTGTAGCATATTCGTGACCCTCACCGGAATGGTGAATTAGTAAACATTTGCACAGTAACCTTGTCATGTAGAAGTCGTAGATGGCGCGCTTTCAAAACTTTATACAGACCTTTCCTTCTGACCATGAGTGATATATAGGCAAACTTTCCTTTCTTTCTTTCTTGCTCCACTCTCTCTCACACACTCCTCTCTCTCTCTCTCTCTCTCTCTCTCTCTCTCTCTCTCTCTCTCTCTCTCTCTCTCTCTCTCTCTCTCTCTTCTCTCTCCTCTCTCTCTCTCACTCTCTCTCTCTCTCTTCTAATTTTCTATCTGTCTATCTTTCTTTATTTTCTTTCTAGTTATCAAAAGGTGATTTGTATAGGCAAACACAGCTCACAGCTCTCAACCCTTAAAGATACTATGTCCTTTTTGCAGCCAACATCAAATTCTATATAGAACTTTGCAGGAATTATGAATATGTCATGTATTTCCTTTCTGTGAAATTTAAACGTTAGTAGTGTCCTAATATTCAAATTATGCAAGGAAACCCGCTTTCTTGCTAGACTTCACTGTCAGACACTATTGAGTGACTGACTGGCTTTAACAAAAACTTCTTTCAATTGGTAATAACATAATATGCAATGAGCTGTAAAGGGTACATGAGCATTTGTCTACATCAGTAACCCACTTCTTGTAATGTCCAAAATTAAACTGATTGAATCTTTGCACAGCATAAAACGTACGACCATTCGATACAATGGTCTGAAAATCAGACTATTGCTTACTGGCTCTATATCTCTGAAGTCGATTCGACAACTAATACTCGTTGTTTTCCCACTGAAAGACATTTTCAAGCCCCCTTTTCTTTAGTGAAGTTCTAAATTCGTATTATCTTTCGAATGCCATTGGAATTTACCTTTTACTTTTTTTGGCCTGCAAATGGGACACACACCCCTTTACTAAATATTTCCCCTCTCTCTCCCCCGAGATTCAGTGCCTACCCCTCTCTTCCCCCAAGTTTAAATATGCCCCGCATGCTGCCAAGTTCATTACGCTCTACAACGGTGAACCTTCAGCGTCCGGAGGTAGGGATTAATATCTTCGGTGAGACACATGGGGCATATTGGGGGGTGATTAGTGCTAATCCGTACCCCGAGACACACCCACACCACAAGTAAACCTTACTTAAAGTCTTGGCGAAGAATCCAGTCAACATTCTTAACGGTAGTAGTCAACTGGTTAAAGGGTTGAATCAATCACAATTTCGTCATCCAGTCATTATTCTTGGCGGTATAGTTTACTGGTTAAAGGGTCAAATCAGTCACAGACCGTAACTATATTTAACTAAAACGTGTTGTCACTTCTTGGAGGAGGGCTAGCGGGGCATAACAGGGGAGGGGGGGGGGGGGGGTTCACGTACGGCCAAGGTATACAACTATAATTTACATCAATAAACAGTAATGTTTTGCAGTGAGCCTTTATCGTTGTTGGAGCTAGACATAATAATTCTATTGAAAATGTATACAATGCCATTGCATACCTTCCCAGTTTTAACAAAATATTGTCAAACGGTTTCTTGATGGAATATCATTGATTGAATCTTTCTTGCAACACGGGTCTACGTACCATCTATACTATGTCTTATCCATACATTATGTTTAACGTAATTGTTCGATTGTAGTCTCTTTACACTTGATATTAATTGGAAGCCGGTGACCATATTTTATTTCCCCATTTTACAATGACGTTGTTTACAATGAATTATGAAGGCATGAAGTGAATATGCAAATAAACAAAACAATTAACCTGTTAAATTGCGTGAAACGGACAGAATATATTAAAGTCTTAAAAACCGGAGCAACATAATGGAATATATTAATTGTACAATGATTATTGAATGACGCTTTCGGCCACCAGAATACTTAGGCCGAAAAATGAAAGAAAAATGATGTGGACAGTGTCAGATATATAGAGTTGAGAGATTATGCAAACCTAGGGAAAGAAAGAAAGAAAGGCATTTTAATAAAACGGAAAATAATAAAAGAAGGGTAGACTAAGCGTAAATCAAAGCAAAATACATGCACATGCATGGAGGTCAAAATGGACTTAAAATCAAAATTATATAGTATCTGCATGCTATTGAAATAAATGAAAACCTATAAAGAAGAAAAAGAGATTAACAGAAAAGGGAAATGTCACTTTGACACACATTAAAATAGAAACAATAGAGAAGCCTAATTCTAAAGACCAAACAAACGATCGCCGGATGAGCGAAATGATCTACTTTTTTTCAAATTATAGTATTGTATCATGAACTTGTGTAACGAGTGTGTGTCCTATAGAAACATATAGATCAGCCCTACAGAGGTCGTTAAAACGTAAATGTCGGCTGCTACGCATACGATTAGTGGAGCATGCACTGACGTGACTCATACGCATTTTCACGTTAGCCGTGTACACAAGTTGGAGCAGGGAGTTAAAGACGCTAACAAGGGGCTTCCTCCTCGCTTGCAGGTAAAGCCAACAACTATCTCTTCATCCTCATTCTCGTTTCGGCATTCACTTGGATCACATAGTCATGGATCAGACGTCGTACCACGGAAATCTTGGAGCTCGCTTGTCGATAGCAGCGTTTTTCCTGCTGTTTTTCATCACCAAATCTGCACATGGATTGACACTCACGGACCCCGAGCGGTCGTACATCGTGTACAACCCGCCATGGAGCCCGACGGGGGAAGTGCAGGCGATCACCTTGCAGTTCCGTACGGTGACCGGAAACGCGCTTCTTTTTGCACATCATTATCTCCGGGAAAACGAGACGAAATATAATTATGAAGTGGACCGTTTTGCGGTGGTTTTGCAGATTATCTCGGGGAGGGTCAAAGCCACCCATTACTTCACAACCATCCAAGAAAGGTAAGTCACTTTCATTAAAAAAAAACTTGAGAAGTATCAACTACTTTCCCCGTTATAATTTGGCCTTCTGGAAGAAAATAGAGATTGGGGCATCCATTTATTGAACAGGTTTGTAAAAGGATGCCTCTAATCGTTTGAGTGTGATCGATGAATGAAATGACTGGATGTAAGGAGAGTAAAAGAAAAAAGGAAATTGGACACAGGAGGAGGAAAAAACAAGAAGAGTGAGAGGGAGATAGATTGTGGAGGTGGGGGAGAAGGGCGCAGGGGGGGGGGGGGGGGGGGGGGGGGGGGGGGGGAAGAGGGGGATGGGGAGGGAAGGGAGGGAGGGAGATGGTTGAGAGGGAAAGGAGCTGGATGAGAGGTATGGAATTGGAAAGAGATATAGGGAGAGCAATTAAATTAGTGGTTTTGAAATGTAGCGTAGATGTGAGAGTTAGGCAGAGTGAGTAAAGATAAAATTATGATCTTGATACATACATAATTATGAATAATTTTGAAAAAAGAAAATACTTGATAGAATCCTGTTATAAGTGAGTCACATACCGGTAGAAGGGGAAGGAAATAGCAGATGTTGCTACAAAATGATATCATGGATGGACCAAGTACAAAATGAATGTGAAGGGAAATGATGGAAGGGGCTGGAGGTGGAGGGGTGGGATGTTGCTGGGGGGGGGGGGCACTTTACAATATGTATCAAGCTATCTGTGGAGTATCTACAACATTCAATCTCTTAATTTCAGGAATACAGTAAGTTGATGCCACTAATACTTCCTGTAATGATATTACACCAAGCACACACTAAAACATTTCTATAAATGAAAGCCTAAATCCAGTAGCAAAGGTTGGATGGGTAGGGGGGGGGGGGGGGGGGGGGGAGGGATAGAAATCTCAGTCTAGGATATAACTATCACCAGGAAAATCTTGGCTTTCAAGAAGTTGCCTCTTCAGTAGAGAAGGACTTGTATTTGTGCCCTCTCAACCAAGTTCATGCCCCTGTCCCAGGAGTTACCACAAAGGATGCACCAGTTTTTTTTAGGATGAAGGTTGTTAATGAGAAAGTGTAAATTAGTTTCTTCCATGCAGGAAGGGGTGCAAATACTTCAGAGACAAAAGGTTCGCGACTGCATAATGTGACCCTAAGGTCTCAGAGCGGAGACATGAATGAACCTTGGGTTTGCAGGAGGGCTGGGATGTCACATGCAGCAGGCATACCTGACATGTACTCTAGATCAGGGCCTGTTCTCATTAGTCTGAGTTTTCAGATAGCCAACTGATTCTGATCTGGGGAAATAGACTTAAACTTGTTGTATTCACACTAATTTCCCCAATCAAAATTAGTGGGCTTTGTCAGAAACTTGGTCTAATGGAAACCTGGCATTTTGAGCAATGGACTGTTAGACATATTTCTTGACATATACTCTAGATCAAGGCCTGTCCTCATTAGCCTGAGTTTTCAGATAGCCAACTAATGCTGATCTGTGGATGGAAATAAACTTGAGTTTGTTGTATTCACACTAATTTCCCCAGATCAAAATTAGTGGGCTATTTTAGAAACGTGGTCTAATTGAAACCTGGTTTTTTGAGCGATGGAATGTTAGACCGGGGAGGTTTCCTGGCGTGAACTCTGAGCCTCGCCTGTGGGTTAGTGAGTCAGGGTTAGTCAAGACCATGATCATGGGACCATTTCTTGTCCCGGGCTTTGCAGTCCTAATCCTAGGTCGAATCCTACGTGAAATTCTACAGCCTAGGACTAATCAGTAGGCCTACTTACAAGTACAGGGCTTCTGGATTTAGATTAAAAGGGGATTCTGAGCTGTACAGCTATTGATAAGGCCATGGATTCAAGGAGTTAAGGACACTGGATTAATCCTAGCTATGTGCTGCCTAATTAGTTGGCCTTTTCTCAAAAGGACCTGTATAGTTGTCACTAGTAGGACTCCGTCTTATGCAGCTCACAGAGTGCGATACACAGTCTTGAGTTAAAGCCACACTGTCATACTTATACTTGCTCCCTCTATATAACAAACAATGCATAATCGGTGACCATTGGTCCCCCATGATCCTCTTTTTCTTATGTTAATTGAGAGCTGATTTGATGAGATAACCACCTGTCCAGTGACCTTGCAGGGTAGTGTAATCCCACCTGTACACTAGTATTGACAGGCTTTAAGACTGTAATGAATTTAACAATTTTGAAATAAAAAAGCAGTAGGCCTATCAGAGTATGATTATTCAGAATATAGGATAGAGAGAAGAATATCAATACTAATATTAAACACTGGTCAAAACCTTTTACAGCTTTTTAAGAAAACATTGTCTTTATATTATACCTTACTGCTTCAAAAGATCACATTTGAACTATTACTACCAAGTATTATTATTATTCCTGTTATAAACTGCTTTTAGACCAATGCTTGAGCTTGATTAGATTCATAGCAACAACAAAAAATTACTATAAAAGACGAACAAACAGATTAAAATCTGTTGATAGCAAAGGGGGTTATTAAAAATGGGGTTATTAAAAATGGGGTAGGGAATTTTGAATGATAGGAATGGCGGAAAGGTAGTTATATGTCTGTAGGAGAAGAAAGAAGAAAGAAGAAGAGGAAAAGTAAAAGGAAAAAAGGAGAGGGAGGAAGATGACAAGAAAATGACATGGGTGGGTTTTAGTCCTGGAAAAGAAAGGAGTTTTAGACTTATAAAAGGGAAAAGTGATAGAGAACATACATTTCAAAGTAAAACTCAATGTATCACAATTGTGAATAATATGACGCCCATTGTCTTTGGAAGATGATACCATCCTAAAATAGCAAAACACTTGAAAGCTCTAAATGCAGAAGTCATAAATATCCAGAAAAATATACTACATTCTATCCTCAAAATGGAGCATGAACTGGGCATCATAAGAGATTCAACCATGTTACAAAATGATTATGCAGTGATGTAATTACAGAATGAAAAGCTCCCTTTAAGGAATGAATTTCTCCTTAAAATGGCAGCTTGAAGTGATCCCTCTATCTACACTCTGAATCTCCGTTCTGCTCTCCTTAGGACCCATTCACACTTAACATGTTTAACCGGCCAAAAATACTATGTATGCATGGGCCATAGTGCACTCCATAATTCTGGATCTTTTAAAGCGCTGAATTTAGTTAAATATGTTCACTGGATTATGTTGCGTGTGCAGATGCTTTTTTCAACAATACAGGTGAACCTGCTTTAGTGGCCACCTCTCAATTAAACCTGTACTACAGGACACTTACATAAAGACCACCTGCCTATAAAGACCACTCTTCATGTTTCCCTTGAGTGGTCTTTATGTACAGGTTACATTGAAACCATATTCAATGGAAATGAAAAATGTGATCTTTATAGACAGGTGGTCTTTCTATACAGGTGGTCGCTAACGCATTGAATTTGGTTTTAATGTAACCTGTACTACAGGAACCTGAACATAAGGACCATCTGCCTATGAAGACCACTCTTCATGTTGCCCTTGAGTGGTCTTTATGTACAGGTTGCTTTAGTACAGGTTACATTGAAACCATATTCAATGGAAATGAAAAATGTGATCTTTATAGACAGGTGGTCTTTCTATACAGTTGGTCTCTAAAGTATTTAATATGGTTCAATGTAATCTGTACTAAAGGAACCTGAACATAAGGACCATCTGCCTATGAAGACCACTCTTCATGTTTCCATTGAGCATTCTTTATGTACAGGTTGCTTTAGTACAGCTTACATTGAAACCATATTCAATGGAAATGAAAAGTGTGATCTTTATAGACAGGTGGTCTTTCTATGCAGGTGGTCGCTAAAGTACTGAATATGGTTTCAATGTAACCTGTACTACAGGAACCTGAACATAAAGACCACCTGCCTAGGAAGACCACTTGTCATGTCTCCCTTGAGCGGTCTTTATAGACAGGTTCCAATGTACCTTCCTTTCCATCGCACATAAAATCTTGATCATTCTGCCGCTACATGTTTTAACGGCAGTTTTTGCTCTGTTTTGTGTCATATATGAATAAGGCTTTCTTGAAGGGCCGGCTGCGTGGAAAGATACCTGAGTAGGATGAGTAATCGTCATGGAGACGATATACCCTGGAAATCGTAATTCAAAGTTGCGCTAAACTCGAGGAGTTTTTATGTGTGACCCAAATAACGCTGCAGGTTTAATTTATCGAGATGGAGATTAAAGGGCCGATTGAAGCTGCATGTCATGAAAGGATGGGTCCGTTGCTCCGTAATCATTTGGTGTCATCGCATTTGGTAGCTTAAAACCTTCGCAATCAGCTACCGTGAGGCATGGAAATTATTCTGAATTAAAGATTATCTCTTGTTGCATCTGCCGTCGAACTGCATATTTTTCCTTTTGACATGACAACATTAATCAAGATGATGACGTACATGGAGGTATTTGCATCAAGTCCTTCTATGTTTTATAATGAGGCTTGTTAAAGCAACTACCGAAAACTGCTCAGGTTCTTTAGGTGTACAGGCCTACAGGGAATTCCTTACTGTCAGATTTAATTTGAAGGATTTGTAGGATTTTGTGACCGGCAGGAAGATTGTGATTGACAATTTTCTTGTGACTGGTTGATTTATGGAATGCTTTGCTGCACACCTTGGCACTTTTAATCTGTTTTTAGAGCTAAAAGGGCATTTATGTATATTATTTATACAGAGTTAAAGCCCTTTCAGCTCCCAGTGGGCGTTTGACTGGTCAGCAAGCACATTTTAGTGACCATATTGTCTTTAAATAATGGACTACAACTGGCTTCTAGCTCACATGTGTTCACCTTATCAAGTGCACCTGAACCACTGTCTTCCTAGTGGCCAAGTACTTAGCCCCGAAAGCTGATGTAGTGTTGGTTGACTCCTCTCCTAGACCAGGGGGGTGTTTCACAAAGATTCAAAGTCAAACTTAACTCTAAGTTGATCTTAAATATTATGGAGAGCCATTTGTAGCCTTACTTTGAAATATATTTAAAAAGCAAAATTCAAGTATTTTTGACTTTTGATAAATTCTACATCAAGAACATGAAATATCCCATGATAATAGAAAATATGAACGATTTGAATCAACATTTTATGCCTTTTAAAATAACTTATACAAAATATTTTCATAGATGCTAACGGCTTTCCATAATTGTTAAGTCCAACTTAGAGATAAGTTCAACTTAGGATCTTTGTGAAACACCCCCCTGGGGTACGTTCTGGGGTATAGAGGGAACATCCGGAATGTCCGATTCTGTCTAAAGGACTTCAACAAACTTTTGAGATTGACAGGGAAATTGTCAATGAAGGCTGGGCTGTGACTGTTAGGTGAAATGGGAAATGAGGTGGGGGTCACGATCTGGTCAGCGTGACCCAAACTAATCCATGTTCACATTCAAGAGACAATAGAGAACTGAGGGAGGGGTCAAGAGGGAGGGGGGATGGATCATACATGTATGTTATTCAGTGTAATAAAGTAGGATGTTTGACTTAGCAACAAGTAATGTATGCAATTGGCATTCTGACTATTGAATACAATTATTCGTTAACAGGTAAATGAAATAATTTGTAACGAGGCACTTAACAAAGGTTTGTGCATTACATTTGATTACATTACGAAAATGGCATAAATTTGTCCCTACAGCCTATACTTGAGTGTGATTAGCAGCAGTCATGTTCACATTGGTGTGTACATGTGTGTGTATGAACAGGTCTACCTATTCAGGGGCTTGTCGTATGAGCCATCATTCGTAAGAACGTGGGTTGGAACGTGCGTTTGACCTGGAGTATGACTCATAGCATCTCTTGACCTCATGTGTTACCTTGTGAGGGGCATGTACAATGAGCCATCATTGATAAGAAAGTGGGTTGGAACGTTCATGTGATCTACAACTCAAACGTTCCCTTAGGGGTCGTGTGTGAATGTGACCTGGGCGATCAACAAGGTTTGGTGAATCATGATGGCAGTGTGTTATCCATTGCATATGAATCCACCAACTGTTTATACAGAGATGGAGAGATGTGATGAATTATGGTGTTCTGAATCAGTGATTTTTTACTTGTTTAGCTACTGTACGTGCAGGACAAATTATTTCTTTAGAATTAATTTAGAACTTTGAGATAAGCTGCAGTATGTAACATTTGTGTGAGTTCTACATGTGATACAGAGACAAAACAACTTACAGAAAGAAAAGAAATATTGAAAATTGATAGAGAGAGACAAAGAGAAAGAGAGAGAGAGAGAGAGAGAGATAGAGAGAGAGAGAGAATGAGAGAGAGAGAGATAGAGAGATATAATGAGAGAGAAAGATGGAAGGGGGGGGGGGGGGGGTAGGAGGGAGAGGGAGAATTGAGGGACAGAGATATAGGCAAAAAGAAGAGATACTGATTAGGATGGCTGTGAAAACGACAGATAGAAGATAGAAGAAATGACCAAATGAAATGAGAAATAAAAAAACAAAAATGCAGGATAATTTGATTTTACATATCATAAATTGTTGTATCTAGGTCTAAGCCTTTTAAAGTTATCATTTTATTATTTCCAAGAAAGAGTAAAGGATTAATAGAGGTTTTATTTTTATGGTGAAAGCTCTCATGTTTATTTTATACAAAACCAACATCAAACTTTCAAGGAGGGATGCTTGAATCATAATGAAAGTAATGACATTCTGTTTGACATAATGACATTCATCGATTATGATTGCGTTGAAATCTAATACCAACGTTTTCTTTCAATGTTCATTTCAGTTTGACGGCAGGAATGGATGTAAGCAATGACCAATGGCACACGGTCACCTTCAGTATCACCCCGGCAACGGGCATCATGTCACTCACTGTAGACGACCAGACAGAGTCGACGGAACTCAATGCTTACAAGTTTGCGTCTGCCCAGAACATCCTGAGTGATAAGTTTGGAGTGAATCCATCGGCCACTGTCTATTTGGGAGGTAGGTCTTGAATGTATTGATTATAAATGATTTTGTTGCTGTTGTTTAATTACAGTATTTTGAATGGTTTCGAATCTCCATCTAAGGAATAGTTTGGAAATCAGAACATCAAGCATGTACATGTATATTAGAAGTGATGTAGTAATCAAGATCAATAGATTTAAAGAAAGAGCTCAAGAGAGAGAGATGGATAGAGATAGAGAGAGAGAGAGAGAGAGAGAGAGAGAGAGAGAGGGGGGGGGGGGGGGGGGGGGAGAAGAGAGAAGGAGAATTGTGTGTGGGATATTTATAAGACATAAAAATGGAGGGAAAAAAAACAGTAATAGAGGGAGAGAGAGAGAGAGAGAGAGAAAGAGAAAGAGAAAGAGAGAAAGAGAAAGAAAGAGAAATAGTGGAAAATAAGAAATGTAATATTACTTAGCGATGCATGTAGAGAAAGCACAAAATTGTAGTATAAAATACAGCTTTGATTATTGAACTAGAATGAAGGAATCGAGTTCAGTTAAATGTGTGTAAGATGTATTGAAAACAATTAGAATCAGTTTAATAAGAAAACAGAATCAGAAGAAAATACAAACAATTGAAGCATGCGCTTTTAGATGCTCGGCATGGCTATCTACCTAAGATGTCGATGTAGCCTACGACATGTGCATGCCATACACAGAATGTTGACCTGAGGTCACGGTCAGCGCCAATCATGCTATGTCCACATAAACCTTGAATCATGTACAAATCATGATGAGGGAAGGGGGTGGGGTATCGCACAATCCTTCTTCTCAAAGAGTGGGGGAGGGGGGGGGGGGAGGTTATTTGTCTTTTACCCTCTATGAGTAACCATCAACATCTGCTTCCATTCCACGTTAATCTCTGACTTTTTGATGATTTTTGTCCCCAATTTTGTACAAATTTGTAAGAGTATGGTCTCAAAGCACCCCCCTCTCTCGCTCCTTCCAACCAAAGGTCTATCTATGCCAAGGCTGTGGTCTAATTATGGTCATAATATGACCTCCCATCATCGTGAAATTTCCCACTTTTTGTGCAATCTGTGTCACAATTGTTAAAGTTAGGATTCAATCCTGCCCCCCCCCCCCACATCCTCCTTCATCCAAAGTTCTACCTATGCCACTGCTAATGTTACCCATGTCTAATTCCAGCTTTTTCGATCACATGACCTCTCATCATAACATACCACGTAGACTGATCCATATATATTCCAGAAAGCCTACAAAGGGATGCTTTCCAACTATTCCCATTTATCGCTCGCCTTACTCACGGCACGTTGGCAGCTTGTGCAAATGATGGATTTCCTCTCCTTGATCCCATGTATTAAAATCTGTGTAGGCAAGGACTGCGTGCAAATCTTATGTTCACTTCCCCGAGGCATTGCAGCTTTCTACAGTGCTTGGCTTACGCTGTGTACACGCCAACTAAATAAGGAGGATGGCAGTTTCCCTCCAGCCAGCCAGTGGCATTGACAAAGGCAATGGAAGCAAAAATACACCGATATTTGTCTCCCAATTCTACTTTTATCTCCCAGTTATACTTTTCTCTCCTCCATCTTGCGTATGAATTTTCATTTTTCATCTCAATGAACTTATTTCCTGTATATTTCTCATGTAGTTCAATGCACTTTATTTTCCACTTTGATGTAGAGTATAAATGTCTTGATGCTCTCCTATCATATGCTGAGAGCCCGCCCCCACAGTATTTGATTTCATATATACTTTAACACATAACCATCCAGTCTCTCATAACTATAGAAATGCGTACACTTCAGTATAACAAAACGTGTAGTGATTTGCTTAGATTATATGCTCAAATCAATACCTGTGGCATGTGCAGATGACACTATCGAAAATCACCAACAAATTTATCTAAATCAAACATATTTGATGAGCTAGTAATGAGCTAGTAATGAACCAAAGTATCCTTAAAACCATTTTAAGATGAGCCTTGGAGCAAATGTCCCAGAAAAATGTTGTTCTCTGAATTTTACTTCATACTTTCGTGTCAAAATTTAGCTTAAGAAAGGATAAGTTTTCTGCTTGTTGCACCGTTTTAGTAATATTGTTTTCCCTGCTAAATGGACAGGCATATGTCAGTATATTGCACCTGATTTGCATGATACGCATTTGATCGCAAAGTTCAAGGAACGGGTCGCAGCCGATCGAAAACATTGTTTAAACGACGAGGGTATCCTTACCACTTCCACAACTCTCGAACAAGTACCTCAAGTTACTGACCTCCCATCCAGCCCCTCCTATCCTCGTCTTGCTCACCAAATTGGCAACGTATAAGGTTACAACGCTACGGGACGGTTTTTTCCTCTCATGACATTAGGACATGGCTATAGTCTGCAAGCTCAACGCAGATGTAGAAGATTTCCCTTGGGTTTTTCAATCTAGGATATAGATTATTTAAGATATGAGTTGCAAAATGTGAACAACAGCGTTACCAAAAATGTCTTACGATATCATCCAAAGTGCTGAAGTAGCAGACTCTCTCTGATAGCTCTGGTGGGGGTTATTGTGCTTTACTGCATCTCAGAATAGCTAAATACATAAGACAACCAAAAAGAAAAAAAAATAATACCAACAAAAAATATAAAAATCAGAAAATGAATTATGTGGCATAAAGAAGTTATTGATGTATTCTAAATTGAGAAAATGGGGGGGGGGGGGGGGGGTCCGACTCTCCTACAATTTTATTGATATGATTACCCGTAATCTTAATCTTGAGTTAGAAGACATTCCTAAGATAATGATGGAAAAGAGCAATCGGTGTTCACATGCATGGACCAATAAAATAATCTTGAATCTTGAATCTTGAATCTCCATTACCTTCCATTGTGGATTGCATTGATATACTTCTTCCATATGTCACAAAAGAAAATAACCAGGCTATTGGGAAAAAGGCTACAGACTTGCCCCCTCCTCGTGATAAGTGACTCACCCTTACCCCTCCTGTACAATATTTAAGTGCATCCCTATCACATATACAAGGCATGGTATTATATGAGGGGGGCATGGTTGCGCCCTTGGTGCGGCAGAGGGGTAATGAGCACTTCCATCCCTGGGTCTCACGGTTTCCTGTTGGGCTAGGCCTCTAGTTGGCCAAGAGACGATTCCCTAGTCTAGCCACGTAGGACGCGAAGTATAGGGGATAAATTGGCCTAAGTACTGTAATTATAGCAGGAGAAAATATGTACAGACAGCTATATTTTTACTCAGGAGTGGCATAGGGTTTAATTAAAACGTTGTAATATGTTTATTGATACCTTAATCACGATTTTATGACTTGTTATGCAATATTTGTACAGTGATTTACTGTATATGATTGTTTTAAATGTTTGATGATGTATATTGCTCATACTGTATACATGGTTAGACACAGACACTACTATCTAGTCTATACATGACATGATGCATACTATGAAGGTTAAATCAGATGACATGTATATATAAGTACTTTGATTATAGCATTAAAACACACATTCTTGTATATAAACTATTGTGTATTTTGAACAGATTTTTCTTGATAGGGCAAGTTTTGTCCAAATGTAAGGACCTTATTCATCTATTTTTAATGATGCAGGGATTTACTCTATAATATTGGCTGCCCCAAGAAGGCTGTTAGCACTATGCATTTTCAATGGCAGACATAGTTTACTTGCGGCAGCAGGAGAAAATATGCTTATTTTGATCAAAATCTATTCTAAGCAGCAAGTGATTTGTATCTGTGCATAATCCTTCATTAGAATATCAGACAACTCTGAATTATGATAGTTAGGCCAACGTGCCTTCGCTCTGAGTTCTTGCATATTTCCTGTGCCTGATATAGTATCTTCAAAACGTGATCAAATCGTCATGTAAGGTAATAAACATGCATTACTTGTTGAGCCCTCCTGATTTCTTATTTTTAGCATATTCTCTATTTTTGATAATGTTAAATACATAGCAATGATGATAATGATCACATTGTGGGGGCAAAATTTGGCTAATTATACAAACTTGACTGTTTAGTTAAATTGCAGTTTGCGTTTTTTTTCTTTCTTTCTTTCTTCTTCTTCTTCTTCTTCTTCTTCCTCTTCTTGTTCTTGTTCTTGTTATTGTTCTTGTTCTTGTTCTTGTTCTTGTTCTTGTTCTTCTTGTTCTTGTTCTTCTTGTTCTTCTTTCTTCTTCTTGTTCTTCTTCTTGTTCTTCTTCTTGTTCTTCTTCTTGTTCTTCTTCTTCCTCTTCTTCTTCTTCTTCTTCTTTCTCTTCTTCTTCCTCCGTGTCCTTGTTCTTGTTCTTCTTGTTCTTGTTCTTCTCTCTTCTTCTTCTTCTTCTTCTTCTTCTTCTTCTTCTTCTTCTTCCTCCATGTTCTTTCTTCTTGTTCTTGTTCTTCTTTTTCTGTTCCCTCTCCTCCTCCTCCACCTTTTCCTTCTCCTTCTTTTTCTTCCTCATCTTCTTCATCTTTCTTCCCATCCTTTTCTTTCTTTGAGTTGGTTGTTTTCTTCTCTCTCTAACTTGTCCTCATTTTTTCCTTTTCAATGATATTTTCTTTTAAATTCTATATTATACTAAGCTCTTTGCTTTTAGAAGAAATGTGTTTTCAAAACTGTCAAGTAACTGTCACATCCAATATTACCTTCACAAACATATAAACAGCTACTCCAGAAATTATAACCCCTAATTGCAATGCATACAAAGCAGTGATTTCATGACAATGAAGGCAACAGAGTACAAATAGTCATTAAGCGTGACCACATTATTATTTCCTCAAAAACCGCAATTATTACTTCCCAAACCACAAATATTTAATCACCAGTCAACAAAATATCCAAATATCTATAGCTAATCAGCCAAGCGAGTACATTCCAGTCTCAGTAATTGTTAAATTTCTTTTCATGAATTAATCTTTACAATGAACGGATGCATGTCACAAATGGAATAGCTGTGGAAAAAAAAGATGTAAAATATAAAAGAAAATGCAATCCCATTCACAAAACGTTTATTCACAAACGCACATTGATTTTGTGTATAATAGTTTGTGGCAAAAGTCTTAAACAGGATATTAATTTAATCATAATGTTCTCACACCTACTCCTTTTCTTTTTGA